GGCACATGTAAATGGAAATATATCCCATGTCCAAGCACTACAAAGAATGTTGTTAAAATATCTATATCATCCAATGAGATCTACAGAATCAGTGCAATCCATGTGAAATTACAAAAGACATTCTTCAAAGAAACAGAAAAAAAGCATCCTAAAATTCACACAGACATCCAAAATACTTCAGATAGACAGAAGAATCATGAATAAAAAGAAAAAACCTGGAGGCATCAAAATACCTGATTTCAAAATGTATTACAAATCTATAGTAACAAATACAGCATAGTACTGGTCATCAAAGGGGCAATGGAGAGACAGAGAGAGAGACAGACAGACATGGAGGAATGACAGCCAGACATACACAAATGAAACAGAATAGAGAACTCAGAAATAAAATCATGGATTTACAGGAAACCCATTTTTAACAAAGCACCAAGAACACACCTTGGGGAAGGACAATCTCTTCAATAAACTGCTAGGAAAACACAACATCCGCATGTACAAGAATAAATCTAGAACGTTATCTTACCATATACAAAAATCTACTCAAAATAAAGATTTAAATGTAGGACCTGAAACCATGAAACTTCTAGAGAAGAAAACAGCATAAGTGCTTCATGAAATTGATTAAGACAAGGGATTTTCAAATAGACATCAAAAGCACAAGCAACAAAAGCAAAAAGAGCCAAATGCAATGACATTCAAATTAGAAACTTCTGTGAAGTAGAGGAAGCAATCAGTAGAACGAGGAAACAATCCAGAATATGGAAGTATTGGCAAACTATGCATCAGGAAAGGGATGTTAACACAAAAAACATATAAAGAACTCAAACTAGTGAGTTTGCATTCCTAATACCTATTGTCCTGCCAGTATTTGCTGCATGTGAAGCTGCAGTAGGCATAGCCCTACTAGTCAAAATTTCCAACACATACAGCCTAAGCCATGTGCAGAACTTAAACTACAGGTGCGCACCACCATGCCTGGCTAATTATTAAATTTATCGTAGAGATGGGATCTCACTACATTATGCAGGTTAGTCTCAAACTCCTGGGCTCAAGCAATCCTTCAGTCTTAGCCTTCCAAAGTGCTGAGATTACAGATGTGAGCCATTTCACCCAGCCTTAACCACTAATCTTTATTAAATTCATTTCCAAAAAGTACATGTTTATTGTGAAAACAAATTAAGCAATGTGGAAAGATGTAAAACCAAAATCTTCTCCCTTCTTCTCTTCATCTTATGCCCTGGGTGTGAACTCTGCTAATATTTGGTTGTCTTCCTCACATCCTCTATCTCTTATAGCTGGGATAATATGTGCGGTTTCACCAGTTATAGTTTCCCCATCCCACACTCCCTTTTCTCTGGATTCCTCCTCCAATTACCATTTGGGGAAATAGATGCAAGATATCCATTGTTTAGGGAAGCTGTCACAGTGGAATCAGTGAAGAAATATGCCAAATTCTTGAGTTTTAAGATAAGAGTTCTCAACCCAGACATAAGATCCAAAAATTGAACAAAGTATATTGGCTCAATCAGTTTTTTTCCCACTCTTCCCAACCCCCGACTAGATAAAGCTGAGTTGGCGGAAGAGGTGAAATGGGGAGGAAGTAATTAGAAAAGCAGTCATGGTCTCCACGAAGGGATATCCCTGTATCCTCCTCTGGGGATTAGATGTAAAGAAGTATGGGAAACTATTATTGAATTCTCCAGATAAAGTTTGGAGATGCAGGTGCAGAAGTGTCAGTGACAGAATTCCACCTGGAGGTCTGGGGAGCAGACACCTCTCCCTGAGACTGAGATATGAAGTACATCCCTAAGCCTAGGAGCCAGGCTAAGAAAAAAGAACAATTCTTAATTAACTAAGCTTAAATGTAAAATGCCTGAATTTACCCAGAAATGACCATAACTAATTTTCTGCCACTATGAGGATTGGAGATTCCAAATACATGTAAAATTATATAATGGAACAATAAAAAAAATTATATTCCACACACCCTAAAAAAATAATTAAAAAAATATAAAAACTATTATCCCAAAAATTTGGGATAATATCATACTGCTACCAATAACATGACTTTTTAAAAATAACATAATCTGAATCAACACAGCTTATTCATTAGCCTCTTTGCTCTATTACGCTTTTACCAACCCAACAACCCACGCAGCCTCTCACTGGCTTTCCTTTCAGACCCATTAACATCCCCTCTTCTAATTTTAACTGATTGCTACCCCTTTTAATTCTAGCTACTCAACATCACCTATCCACTGATTCTTTCCCATGAAAAAGCTCTACATTTCCATACTAATTCTTGTACAAATTTTTCTAATCGTAGCATTCACAGCCACAGAACTAATTCTATTTTATATTCTATTTGAAGCTACATTAATCCCCACTCTAATCATCACTACCCACTGAGGGTATCAGCCAGAACACCTTAATGCAAGCTCATATTTCTTATTTCATACACTAGTAGGATCCCTCCCCTTACTTATTACACTCCTTTATACCCAAAACATCTCAGGATCACTAAATATACTAAACAATAACAAATATAACCACAGAAATATTATTTTCTTGAATAAATAATACCACGTTGTTGGCATATATGATGGCTTCTATAGTCAAAATACTTCTATACAGACTTCACCTATGACTTCCCAAAGGCCATGTAGAAGACCCTATTGCCGGCTCAATAGTACTTGCAGCAGTATTACTAAAATTAGAGGGCTATAGCATAATACGAATCGCCTCTGGCCCCTCTTTATGCTTGCATTGTCCCTGGACTTGCCCTGGCTATGATACAGAGCTAACCCTGCCCTCTTTATGCCATAGACCTGACCCTCATCTGGCCCTGCCATACCCTGGTTCGGCTCTGGTGATGTCCAGGCTCTGCCCTTCCCCGGACCTGCCTTTGCCTTGTGCTATCCTAGTCGTGCATCAGCCATGGCTTTTTCCCTGGGCCTGCTGACCCCTTGCCTCAACCCTTTTCTGGCCCTGCCTTTTTCTTGGCCATTCTCTGCCCTTGCCCTTGTGCTTGTCCTGGTCCCTTTCTGGCCCTGCCTTGTTGTGGGCCCTGCCCTGTCCATTTCCCAACGCTGGCATTCCCTGTCCCTGCCCTGCCATACACGGGCGCTGTCTTTGCTTTATACTAACCTTGCCCTGACATGGCTCTGCACTACCCTAGTTCTGCCCTTCCCTGTCCCTCAGCTCATCCTGACATTACCCTGTGCCAAACCCTGGTACTGCCACGTTCCTGCCCTGGCCCTGATTCTGCACTGCTTCTGTCCCTGGTCTTGGTCCTATCATGTCCCTGGCTGTGACTCTGCCCCTGGTTTTTCCCTGACCATGACCCACCCAGGTCCTGCCCTAGCCCAGCCAACTTGGCACTGCACTCCCCAGTGCCCTGCCCCCATGCCAGGGCGCTGCCCTAACCCTACTACTGTTCTGGCCCTGACTTGCCCATGGCCCTCACCCTGCCATAGTTTTGACCTCGATGGTCCTGGTCCTGCCCTTTCATTCATTCATGCCCATCATTCTTACTTTGCTTCTGCCCCTGCCCTGGTCACTACCTGCCCTGGCCTTTCCTTGTCTCTCTGCTATGCTGGTCCTGCCATTCCCTAGGTCTGCCTTGGCCCTGACCTTCTGTGGCCCTATCTTGGTCCTGTGCTATCCTAGTCCTGCCTCAAACCTGACATTGCCCTTATCCTATTCTGGCCTAACATGGTCCTCCCTACACTGGCCATATCCAGCCCTGCTCTTACATTACCCTGGCTCTAATTCTGATCTGGCCCTGCCCTTGCCTTAGCCCATCCCTGGCCCTGCCCTGTTGTGGGCCCTGCTGTCCATGTACCAGCCCTGGCCATCTCTGTCCCTGCCCTGCCATCCACTGCCTCTGTCCTCACCCCACACTGTCCCTGGCTTGCTTTGCTTCTGTGCTACCCTAACCCTGGCTTGCCTAGGCCCTCAACTTGGCTTTTCCTTTTCCCAAGCCTTGACCCTGCCATGTCCCTGTCCTTGCCCTGGTTTTTCCGTTTCTGGACCTCTCCTGGACCCACTCTTGGTCCTGTCGTGTCCTTGGCTGTGACCCTGCCCTTGTTTTTTCCCTAGCCATCACACAGCCCATTTGCCCTCATCCAGCCCTGACTGGGCATTGCTCTACCCACTTCCCTGGCCCTATCCTAGCCCTGTCTTGGCCGTGTGCTACCCTGTCCCTTCCCTGGACCTGTGCTGGCCATGGCTTTATTCCTGCTGCTCCTGCTGACTCTGGTCCTGCCATGGCACCAGGCCTGCCAGTGATCACTGTCCTGGTCCTATTCTGGCCCTGACCTGGACTTGGACATGTCCTGAGCCTGATTTGTCCCAGCCATGCCTTGACCTGTCTCTGCCCTGGTCTATCAAGGCCCTGCACATACTGCCCTTTCCTGGCCCTGCCATGGCCCAGGTGTGCCATTGCCTTGTCTTACACTGCACTGGTTATGCCTCTGCCCTGCCCAGACACATAATCACTCCCTGATGTGCACTGACCCTGCCTTTGCTTTTGCTGTCTCCTATTTATGACCTGGATCTGGCCCTGCCCTGCCATGGTTCTGCCCTTATTTAGTCAGGGCCCTGACCCTGCCATATCTCTGGCCCCCCCTGTCCTTTATCCAGTTCCTGATCCTGCCTTCTTTTGCCCCAGCCTTGCCCTGGATCTTCCCTTTCTCTACCATGCCTTTCCATGACCTGGCCTTGCCCTAACCCAGCATCGATCCTGCACTGGCCCTCTCTGCCTTGGCATGGCCCTGCTCCTGCCCTGGGCTGACCCTGGCCCTACTCTGTCATCCACTGTCCTGACCCTGTACTGGCTACACAATACCCTGGCCCAGTGATTGCCCTGGCCCTGTTCCTACTCTTGCCCTTGTTATGGCCCTGCCCTGCTTTTGGCCTTGCCCTACGCTATCCTAGCCCTGCCCTGGCTCTATCCTGGTCTTGGCCTATGCTGTCCCTGTCTTTGCTTTGTCCTGGTCCTTATTCTGCCCTGGCCATGCCCTTGCTCTGGACTCTTCCTGGTCCTGCCTTCTCTGTGGCCCCATCCTTGCTCTGGTCCTGCTCCTGACCCAGCCCCAGGCCTAAATTGGCCTGTTATGGCCCTGGCCCTGTGCTATCTTAGTCCTACCCTGGCCCTGATTTCAACCTGGTCCTGGTCTCGCCCCTTTGCCCTGTCCTGTCTTGGCCCTTAACCTGTCCCTAAACCAAATGTGGCCCCAGCCCTGACTGCTACTCCTGATCCTGGTCCTGCCATGGCCCTGGTCCTGCTCTTTCTTTGCCTTGGTCCTGAAATTGCCCTTTCCTCGTGCTGGTCCCAAGTCTGGCCCTTCCCTGGAGCTTCTCTGGGCATGGTCAGGAACCTGTGCCTTCATTGGACCAGCCCTGCCTTTGTCCCGTGCTATCCTGGCCTGGCTCTGCCTTGTTGCAGTGCTGATCTGGCCCTGTCATGGTCTGGCCCTTCCACTGCCCTGTCTGACCCTGCCCTAGCTGTGCCCTGTCCCTGAATATCCTTGGTCCTTCCTTGGTCTTGTCTTTGATGTAACCCTGACTCAGCCCTGGATTTTCCCTGACCCTGCCTCAGCCCTAGCACTTAGGATGCGGTGTCACTCAAGCCTGGAACTACCTGGCCCTGCCTTGGCACTTGCTCTGTCCTCTCTATGGTCTGACTCTGGTCCTGCGCTGGCCCTTGCCCTGTCCCTGGACCTGCAATATTCCTGGGCCTGGTCCTATGCTTGTCCAAGCACTGACCCACCATGGCCCTGCTCTTCTCTGCTCTGGTCTTGCCCTCAACCTGCATTGGTCTTGCACTGGTCCTGTTCTAACCTGGCTCTGCCTTGGCCCTGGCCCTGCCTTCTCCTCAAAGTTTCCCTGGTCTTACACCTTGTCTCTTCTGCCCATGACCTGGTCCTGTCCCTGACCTTCTCTGCCCTGTCCCTGCTATGCTGTGCCCAGTGCTTTCCCTAATCCTGTTTCTAGCCCTGCCCCTACTATGGCCCTCACCTGCTTTTAGCCATGCCCTTTACTACCTCTGCCCTGGCCCTACACTGTTTGTAACCTGCACTGGCCCTGCCTTTGCCTTGTCCTCATGCTGCACTGGCCTTGCCTTTACCCTGGAACCTCCTGGCCCTGCCCTTTGTCTGGCTCTACCCCTGACAGGGCTTTGGTCTGGCTCTATGGTGGCCCTGGCAATGCCCTGGCCCCCACTGGCTGTGCCTTGGCACTGGACGCACAGTATGCTTGCTTGGCCCTGGCCCCTCTTGGCCCAGCATTGTCCCTGAACTTGCCACAGGTATGACATGGTGCTGACCGTGCCCTACCCCAGTTCTACCGTGGTAATGCCCTGGCCCTCCCCTTCTCTGGCCCTGCCTTAGCCCTATGTATCGTAGTCCTGCCTTGGCTCTGATCTTGATCTGACCTTCCCTACCCTGGCCTTGCCTGGCTCTGGCCAAGGCCTTTGGTTTATGCTGGCTCTGATTCTGACCTGGCCCTCCTCTTGCCTTGGCCCCTGACCCTGCCATTTTCCTGGCTTTCCTCTGGCCTTGTCATCGTCCTGGCCCATTTCTGACCCTTTTTATGGGCCCTGTCCATATCCCAGCCCTGGCTTTCCATGTTTCTGCCCTGCCATCATCTGGTCCTTTACTGATCCTGACCTGGTACTGGTCCTAGCTTGCCTTGGCGCTGCACTACCCTAGCCCTGCCCTATCCTGGTCTTGTGCTAGTCCTGACCTTCACCTGTGCCAAGCCCTGACCCTGCCATGTCCTTGCGTTGGTCTTGGCCCTGTCGTGTCATTGGTTGTGGCCCTGCCCCTAGTTTTTCCCTGGTTATGACCCAGCTCTGGTCCTGCCCTGGCTTTGGCCTTGTCCCGGTTCTGGTTCTACCCTGGCCAAGGCCTGACTAGGCACTGAATTATCCACTACCCTGCCCTACACTGCTCACATGCCAGGGCCCTGCTCTGGTTCTGGTTCTGTCCTGGCCCTGACATGCCCATGGCCCTCACCCTGCCAGTCATCATGCCATAGCCCTGACCCTCACTTGGCCCTGGTCCTGTTCTGACTCTGGCCTTGCCCTGCTTCTAGCCCTGCAGCTGCCTTGGCCCTAAGGCCTCCACGGCCCTTTCCTGCCCTGGGCTTTCCTTGACCCTCTGCTATGCTGTACTTGTCCCTGCCACGGACCAGTTGTGCCATTGCCCTATCTTACCCTGCACAGTTTGTGCCCTGGCCCTGCCCTTCACCCTGCAGTAACCCACCACTGGCACTCTCTCCCTTGGCACAGCCTTGGCCCTGGCCCTGCTTTCTCCCTGTCCCTGGGCCTGCCCTGTCACACTCTGTTCTGGCCCTGTACTGGCCCCATCATAAACTGGCCCTGTTCCTAGTCCTATCCTAGCTATTACATTGCCCTGCTTTTGGCTATGCCTTGTAATATTCTAGTCCTGCCCTTCCTCAGTCCTGGTCCTATCCTGGCCTTGCACTGTCCTGTCCCTGCTTTTACTTTTTCCTGGTTCTGACTTGGTCCAGCCCCTGCTCTGGACCCACCCTGTTCCTGCCTGGGCCTGACTAGGCACTGAATTACCCACTACCCTGCCCTACACTGCTAACATTCCAGGGTCTTGCTCTGGCTCTGGTTCTTTCCTGGCCCTGACTTGACCATGGTCCTGGTTCTGATTTGGTCCAGCCCCTGCTCTGAAGCCACCCTGTTCCTGCCTTCTCCTTGGCTCTGCATTTACTGTGTCCCTGTCCCTAGCCCAACCTTGGCCTTGTTCCAGACCCTGACCCTGTGTTTGCCCTGGCCTGGCTCTAACCACATGCTATCCTAGTCCTGTCCTGGCTCTGACCTCACCCTGGTCCTGTTCTTGCCCCTTTTACCTAGCTCTGCCCTACCTTGGTCTTCACCCTGACCCTAGCCCAGACCTCACTTGCTCTGTTGCCAGGTTGCAATGCAGTGGTGAGATCTCAGCTCACTGCAGTCTCTGCTTCCCAGGTTCAAGTGGTTCTGCTTCAGCCACATGAGTAGCTGGCACCATGGCCAGCTAATTTTGTATTTTTCGTAGAGATGGGATTTCAGCATGTTAGCCAGGATGATCTTGATCTCCTAACGTTGAGATCCACCGCCCTTGGCCTCCCAAGGTTCTGGGATTAGAGGCATGAGCCCCTATGTCTGACATAAATTTTTATTTTTTGTAAAGATGGGGACTTCCTATGTCACCCAGGCTGGTCTAAAACTCCTAGGCTCAAACAAACTTCCAGCCTTGGCCTCCCAAAGTCCTGGAATTACAAATGTGAGCCACTGCACCTAGCCTGTTTTGTGTTATTGTTGTCGTTTTAAATAAACCAGCTTTGGCTGGGCATGGTGGCTCACTCCTGTAATCCCAGCACTTTGGGAGGCCGAGGTAGGCAGATCAAGAGGTCAGCAGATCCAGACCATCTTGGCCAACATGGTGAAACCCCAACTCTACTAAAAACACAAAACAATTATCTGGGTGTGGGGGTACATGCCTGTAGTCCCAGTTACTCAGAAGGCTGAGCCAGGAGAACCACTTGAAACCAGCAGATGAAGGCTGCAGTGAGCTGAGGTCACAAAACTATGTCTGAAAAAATAAAACAAAATAAAATAAACCAGCTTTACTGAGGTATCATTCACATATAATCTACCCATTTATTTATTTTTATTTTATTTTTTGAAATAAAGTTTCACTCTTGTCACCCAGGCTGGAGTGCACTGGTGTGATCTCAGCTCACTGCAGCCTTGGCCTCTGAGGTTCAAGCGATTTTCCTGCCTCGGCCTCCCAGGTTCAAGCGATTTTCTTGTCTCAGCCTCCCATGTAGCTGGAATTACAGGCGCCTGCCACCCACCTGGCTAAATACTGTATTCTCAGTAGAAACACAGTTTCACCATGTTGGCCAGTGCTGGGATTACAAATGTGAGCTACTGTGCCCCATGCAATTTACTTATTTAGCTTACACTTTAGTGTACAACCATAACCACAACCATCCTGACTACACAGGGATAGGAGGAGACTGCAGAGAAGCAGGGCTCGGCAGCAAAAGTGAGGCACAGGCCAGGGGATGGGCTCCCCAAGACTCACCCATGAAGTTACACTTACTGGTGGCACCCATGCTGCTGAGAGTGATGGTCCCAATGTTGAGTTCTGGACAGTGAGAAGAAGCAGGGCTGGGCTGGAGCACAGGAAGTGGCCTCCTCTCCCCTAGCCAGGCTGCCCAGCCTCCTCCTCCTGGATAGAAGATCAGGGCAGGCAGGATGGGAGCTGAGGCGAGGCATCGTTTGCACAGCCCTAGGAGGAAGGCAGGAACGCTGAGTCTCTCAGTACCAGGCACCCATGTCATGGAAGACCTCAGTGCCCATGGGCAATAAATGAAGGTTTCACCAAGAGCCATAGGCCCCTGCCTTCTGGTCTCAGGTGTGGCTTCGTGTCCTGGCGGGTGCTGAGGATGACTCCCCCTAGGGAGGATGGGAAGGGCATCTCGCCTGCTCAGAGCAGCTCTCGATCCACAACCAAGAGGATTGCCTGAAATTGCCCCACTGCAGGGACAGGGATTCATGGTGACCAGGGCTCCTCACAGGCAGGCCACCCCTCCCCCAACAAACACGCCCCCAACAGAACCAAGTTCTGGTTGCCAGGGCAACCACCTGGAGCTCAGCCCCTTCCCTGGCCCAATCAAATTGGGTGCACAATTATCCCCAAGTGTCCCCAAAACACTTATCCCCAAGAACTGAGTCGCCTTGGGTGCAGGACCCTGGTCTCCTGACAAATGTCTCCATATGTCACGCTGAGGGCAGCAGGCTGGGCTGGCCAGGAGCCTCACTGGAGAGCTCTGGCCCTGCTCAGAAACATTCACTGGCTTGGAGATCCCCATCTTAGTGAGATCTGGGGTTCCATACAAGGTCCCCCTCTGAGCAGATAACCTGACTTTCTGTCCCATTCTGCCCTTCCCACCTCATCTGTCAATCCCTAAGGCTATGTAGCAGCTACCCCCATCAGGCCCTCAGAGTACTGAAGCTTCACCTACCTCCCCAGCGGCAGGACACCAATCCACTTCCGCACCTCCAGCAGCCGCTCAGAATCTCAGGTCAGTGCCATGGTGTGGAAAGCCAGGGGCAGGAGGATCAGGGCAGGAGGGTCAGGGCAGCCGGGATCTTCCCCTCCAGCATGGCCCCTGCACCTCACTCAACTCACCTCAGAATCCAGTGGCTCCAGTGGAGGGGCTTGGCCCTCTGCAGGTGGCTGTACCCTGGGAAGAGGACATCACGTTCCCTGTGGGAGAGGAGCAGGTGCTCGGGTGGAGGCTGGGGCAAGGTCTGCTGGCAACACTGGAACCCTGCAGGCCTGGGTCACCCCTGAAAGAAGTGTTGTCCTGCAGTACTGCACCTGAATGAGGGATCCAGGATCTCCCAGGGAAAAATTGCTCTCAAGGGAAAAAGAGGCCGGAAGTGTGGCCATGTGAACCACGCACTGGGCCTGAGCTGTGGGGCTCCTGGGGTGAGGCTTTGCCAGGAACACCCAAAGCCTGAGCCTCTGTCACTCAGCATCTCTGAATGGCAGCCAGAGAAGGGGAGGAGGCCAGTGTCAGGTATGACTGGGCCATGGGAGGTTTCGTTTGAGGACCCAAGAAACAGCTGGGGCTCATAAAGAGCCGCTCCAAGCAGGTGGGACACCCTACCCCTCGTTCAAGTCACCATTTTTTGTATTTTTAGTAGAGGTAGTGTTTCACCATGTTGGCCAGGCTGGTCTCGAACTCCTCACCTCAAGTGATCCACCCGCCTCTGCCTCCCAAAGTGCTGGAATTATATGCATGAGCCACTTCACCCGGCCTTTTTTTTGTTTTAAATAAACCACCTTGCTGAGGTATCATTCATCTATAATTTACCCATTTAAAGCTTGCACTTTAGTGTACAACCATCACCAGTTTAAGAACATTTTCACCATCCCCTAAACAAATTCTATACTCAAGGCCAGGTATGGTGGCTCAAGCCTGTAATGCCAGGTCTCTGGGAGCCCAAGAGGGAAGGATCACTTGAGGCTGGGAGTTCAACCAGACTGAGCCACATAGTGAGAACTCATTTCCACAAAATATTTTAAAAATTCACAGGGAGTGGTGCACACCTGTGGTCCTATCTACTCAGAAAGCCGAGATGGGAGGATCATTTTGAGTCCAGGAGTTTGAGGCTGCAGTGAGCTATGATCGAGCCACTGCTCTCCAGCCTAGGTGACAGAGCAAGAAATCGTCTCTGAAGGCAACTTAAAAAATTAAAAATGTGGCCAGATTGCGGTGGCTCACGCCTGTAATCTCAACACTTTGACGTGGGCAGACCACAAGATCAGGAGATTGAGAACATCTTGGAAAACAGGGTGAAACCCTGGTCTCTACTAAAAAATACAAAAATTAGCTAGGCGTGACATGAACCTGTAGCCCCAGCTACTCTGGAGGCTGAGGCAGGAGAATCACTTGAATCCAGGAAGCAGAGGTGGCAGTGAGCTGAGTGCCACTGCACTTCAGCCTGGGCGACAAGAGCAAAACTCTGTCTCAACAAAAAGTTAAAAATTTGAAATTTAGGCCAGGTGCAGTGGCTTATGCCTGTAATCCCAGCACTTTGACAGGCCAAGGTGGGCAGATCACCTCAGCTCAGGAGTTCGAGAGACCAGCCTGGCCAACATGGCAAAGCCCATCTCTACTGCAAAAAAATACAAAAATTAGCTGCATGCAGTGGCACTCACCTGTAATCTCAGCTACTTGGGAGGTGGAGGCACAAAAATCACTGGAACCCAGATGGTGGAGCTTGCAGGTAGGAGAGATCGTACCACTGTACTTTAGACTAGGCAACAAAGCAAGACCCTGTCTCACACGCACACACAAAAAAATTAAAGAAACCCTGAACTCAGTAGCAGACACTCCATGTTCCGCTTAGCAGCCCCACCCCACTTCCAGGGTGACAATTTGTGTGCCCTTGTTTCCCCCCAGGTCTGAGAACAGGTGTCTCAGGGAGTTGAGGAACAGGAGGGGTCTCTGACAACACATGGTGACTCCTCAGCAGCTCCCGCTCCAGGTCTGCAAGGAACAAACCCAAACCCAAAGACACTAGGTCCCAGAAGCCAAAGCCTGGGATGAGGCCAACAGGAGGCAGCCTTTGGCTGTCTTTCGCCAGATGGTCTGGGTGGGGACACGGAATATGGGATGGGAGACTGGTGCACAGGCAGGGTGGGGAGAGACCCTGGCTGCTCCAGGCACAGCCAAGATAGTGCCTTAGCTTCCTTCCCTCAAATCCACAAAGGGTGAGTTTTCTTTTTACTTTTTATTTTTTGAGACACAGTCTCAATCTGTCTCTTAGGCTGAAGTGCAGTGATGCAATGTCAGCTCACTGCAACCTCCGCCTTTCAGGTTCAAGTGAGTCTCTGGCCTCAGCCTCCCATGTAGCTGTGATTACAGGTGCACACCACCATGTCCAGCTAATTTTTTTATTTTTAGTAGCGACAGGGTTTCACCATGTTGGCCAGGCTGGTCTTGAACTCCTGAGCTCTGGTGATCCTCCCGCCTCTGCCTCCCAAAGGGCTGGGATTACAGTTGTGAGCCACCACACCGGGCCCCATGAAGGATGAGTCTTCCCTGACTGCTGGGCTAAACTGGCATGGACTCGAGTATTGGGGCCTGCAGGAAATGCCCCACTCCTGGCTGCTCTGCCTCGATCCTGCAGTTCTGGGATGCCCCTGTCTCCCAGGGCCTGGCACCCCCACCCTGTTCAGCCCTGCCACCTGAATCTGCTGTTAAGGCTGCCATCACACCTGTCTCTGCCCCGTGGCTGTCCCTGGGGAACTCACACCTCTGTCCATTCCACC